TATATGTATATGTATATGTATATGTATATGTATATGTATATGTATATATATATTTTTTTTTTTAAAGAAGGCAGCAGGAAGCAAAGAACCAATTTCTCAATGGTCAAGAAATCAGTTTACACCGGGCGGTGGTGGCGCACACTTTTAATCCCAGCACTTGGGAGGCAGAGGCAGGTGGATTTCTGAGTTCGAGGCCAGCCTGGTCTACAGAGTGAGTTCCAGGACAGCCAGGGCTACACAGAGAAACCCTGCTCAAAAAATAAAAAACAACAAAACAAAACAAAACAAGACATCAGTTTAATGGCTGAGGAGACCAGAATAAAATTCAGAGCAATGTTTTTAATGAGATAGAAAAGAACAGATGAGGAGAGTGGTGGCTCTTGGAAGAGGCAGGCATGCTTCCTTGAAGTGTTCTCATTCTCCGTAATGGGACCATGTGTGTGAAGTAGCCATGCTTCAGTAGCAATTTGTTATTATACAATGTAACAATGTAAGCCTTTTAAAGTGCTGTCTACACAAAGTATGGAATGTTATTTGTGCCATGTGAAATAATGAAACATTATAAATAATATGATTGTCCAGGATGGAATCATAACCATAAGATAGACTACTATATAGCTGCCAAAATTAGCAAACTAAAGCTAGAGATACGTAAGTGGATGAGTCTCAAGGCACCGTGTCAACAACAGCAGAAGACAGAGGACACGCACTCTGAGTCAGTGCCGTGTGCAAAGTGTTTACAAGCATAAAAACCTATTCCTATGTGTTCTTTAGAAATTAAAAAAATGTACTAAGTGGAGCTGGGAGGTGGCTTGGTGGTGGAGTTGTGACTCATGTGTAAAGCCCTGGGCTGATCCCTAGCACTGAAGAGAGAAGGAGACAGAAATAGAAGTGTGGAGAGTAAGCCACGCCCAATCTCAGAACAAGGCTACTTCTATGAAGGCAGAGCGGCACAGAAGGGAACCAAAGGCCTGGGCTGTGCTCCAAAGGGTTTCATTGATTAAGCTGCCCGAGAGCTACCAATGCTGACGTTATTTCTGGTTATGAGGATATTTTATGTTTTTTTTCTTGAAGCGGAGTCTCACTCTAGCTCACGGTGAGCTGGAACCCACCACATACCTAGGCTGGACTTAAACTCATGGCAAACCTCCTGCTTCTTCAGCCTCCTGACAGTTAAGAGTACAGGCCAGAGTACCACACCCAAGCTTTAATTCGTAAAAGGGAACAACACCATGGAAACAAAAAAGATTTTTAGCTTGACACTGACCCACTTTCCAAGAAAAGACTGGCAAACAAACATGAGTCCTGACACTGAGCCATGAGAGGTTTCTGTTCATAGGTAACACATTTCCTTCCCAGGGCTGAATAAAAATATTGTTTCAGTGTGAGTAAATTCTCAGAAATTGAGAAAGCAGGAGAGTTGACATGAACAGATGGACATTTGGGATGACGTTCAGGAAGCTGATGGAACCTCCTAGATGGCCCTAAGCAGAGGGGCTGCAGTGAGAACCGCAAGAGGAGTGCTGCACTTGACACAATTCTTCACTCCGATGGCCGGCCATGGCAGTCACACTCAGACTGGACGTGCAAAAATACAAAGCTCGGGCCTGGGCTGCACGACGAAGCACATCAGGTGGGTGTGTAATTAAACATCTGTCTGTCTGCTCAACAGCAATTCCTGAACCCACACTAACCCTGCCCGGCCCCTCCCCCTTTGTGCACATAAGCACATAAGCATACAGAACAGCTGCCTGAAGGAGTCTGGGCAGGACTCCAGACCTGTTCTCTCAACAGCAAATACTACTGTACAGTGGGACGGAGGGCAGTGCTGTTTCTGGGAAGATGGTTAGGAATGGCCACAGCAGAATAAAATAAAGTCCTTCTACCTCACAAGGTAAATTTTTTTTTAAAAGATCGGTTTTTTGAGACAAGGTTTCTCTGTGTAATAACCCTGGCTGTCCCAGACTCTCTTTGTAGACCAGGCTGGCCTCAAACTCAGAGATCCGCCTGCCTCTGCCTCCCAAGTGCTGGGATTAAAGGCGTGCACCATCATGGCCAGCAGAAAATAAAATCTGTATTTCAGCAATTACTTAGGAAGCGAGCCGTCTCCCGTGCACTCACCCTAAAGGAGCATCCAGTGTGTTCAATACAAGTTATACAATCTAATGACCAACTGACAGGAAAATAGACAGACAGACACACAGACACAGACACACACACACACACACACACACACACACACACCATTAAAGAAGGGCTCAAACACCAAGCCATTACCCAACATGAGCTTTTATTTTAAAGTTAGCAGCTGAAGGTCTGGGGGTTGTTCCGGGGCAGAACATTTGCCTACAGATTACCAGACATGGCTGAAGAGGTGGCTGAGTGGCTAGGAGCATGTACTGTACTTTCAGAGAACATGGTTCAGTTCCAAGCACCCATGTCAGACAGCTCACAACCACCTGTAACTCCTACTTCAGAGATGCGATGCCTCTGACCTCCTCAGGCATGTATATCCACACTGAAAATTAATTTTAAAAGTCTTTACGATCACTAGCCATTACATAGAAAAAAAAAGTACGGTGGAACACACCTGTAACCTCAGCACCTGGGATGTGAAAGCTGGAGCATTAAGGGGTCAATCCTTGGCTACAGAGAAAATTTAAGGCCAGCATGGGCTCCATGAGACCCTGACTTACCCCAAACCTCCCAACCTCCCAAAGAAAGAAGTATGATAACTGACCCTAAGGACAAGAAACGATAAAGAAAAAAAAATATATGTGACTTCAGCTAAAGTCTGTTGGATTTTTTAAAGCAAAGGCTGCATGTCAGGGCGTGGCAGCTCACACCTGTAGTCCTAGTACTCAGCATGTACAGGCAGGGAAAGGCGTGTGAGCTCCAGGCCAGCCGGAGCTAACAGGAAGACCCACTGCCAATAAACAAACAAGGTTAAGGGATCCTTTGACCTACCTAAAACGGTAGAGGATCCTTCAGAATTGACTTCAACTTGGAGCTGAACTATACCCTTGCTCACTCTTCAATGTATAGTCAATTTGCTGTGTCACAAGCACTGTATTTATCATTATGGAGGATATATGTATGACACTGTTGTCTTTTAAGTTTCATAAATGGCTACAATTTCCTTTCTAGAAGATGCTGCTGCTGTCTCAGCTGCCACAGTGACCAGCAGAGACAACCTTCACCTGCAATCTGGTGAGTTCCTGGATGAGCAGCGTGTGATTTTTTCCAAGGGAAAGCCAAAATCCAAGCAGGAACATGCTGAGTCAACAGATTTCTGCCCCCAACTGGCCAAGCTCTTTGGATGCTTCCCAGCCCCAGCTCCTGAGGACAAACGGAGTCCTGACCAAGCAGCTTGCAAAGACTCAGCCATACAACAACGGAATTCAGTCTGAGAGCTTTGAAAACAACCAGGCCCACTCCACCATTCTCTCCAACCTGGGGAGGGCTTGACAGTTCCAATGTTTCATCCAATATGGAGAGGACCTGGCACAACTCAGAAACTGTCCAATACATCCATGTCTTGGAAAAGCTTCTGAAAGTCTCCTCCCTCCCAGAAGACATAGGTGCTAGCTGCCTTAGACTTTCTGGGAAAAGAGAAAGTGAAACCAATCTGTGTGACGAAGCTTGGGGACAAGACATCATCTGTTCCTCACATGTGCATTTCAGAGAGCACACTGAACTCTGCACTCAGGAAGGGCTTCTGTTAGGACAAGCCTTTAAAAGCGCGTGACTGATATCAGTTTTCTACAGTGTTGAAACAGGGAACTTTTCAAATGAAAACTCTGATTTGCTGGTATCATAGGGTAAAGCTGAGATGCGTTTCTAGTACCTTTCACCTCTGTATCAGTATATTAGGCCTCTGCATCAGGATACCATTTAATTGCCTGCTTCCAGCAAAAGCATCAAGTCCTTCTATAGGGTAGAAGAAGGGCACCCGTGGGTGCTGGGGACTGAGCCCAGTTCCTGATGCCATCTCAGAGGAACCTGTTCCCATCATGGAGTGAGGAGGAAAGCATCACATGATTTAATTCCCACTGTTATAACTCAGCTGACACAGCACAACAGTCAAGTCCAGTGGTTCTCAGCCTTCCTAATGCTAAGATCCTTTAATACAGTTCCCCATGCTATACTCATCCCCAATCATAAAATTATTTTTGTTGCTACTTCATAAATGAATGTTGCTACCATTATGAATGGTAATGTAAATATCTACATTTTCGGATGTCAGAAACAACCTCTATGAAAGGGTCATTTGACCTTCAAAGGGGTCTAGCCCCACAGGTTGAGAACTACTCTGCTTACGTTGAGCTCAGGTCTTGTCCTGACAATATAACTCTTCCCACTCTGTTCACACACTAAGGTGTTGCTACTCACTTCTTTAGAGTCAGCAAGGACAAAGAGAAACAAATGGCAAGCCCAGATATTTCATTTTAGACAAATCTGAACTGAGCTCTAGGGAGTGCCCATGTTCCACCCAGGGTCACACAACTGATTAAAGGTGAAGTAGCTGAGACCAGAACCGGCCTCTGCAGTCCTGGGCTCTTCCTTTTATATTAAGAGGCCTCCTTAGAACTGCCAACAGATGCTCACAGACCTCTCGTCTGCACTCTGGGCCTCTCCTGGGAACAACAATCCCTCTGCTGTCGCTCACCAGGAGCCCTTGTCATCCTTTCTAATTCAGCGCTCAGGACAGAGGGATGAGGACGACTGTGTGTAGCAGCTGCTTCACTCAGAGGTGACACTTCTACCCCGAGATACTGAGCATCTACATCACTCCCTTTGCAGAGAAGCAGAACTCATCTGGAGACCACCGTGTACTCACCACAAAGGTGATCTGGTTGTGTCGAAGGTTCAGTTCCGTGAGTGAATCCAGACCGTTGAGATTGTCAACGTGACTCAAGAGGTTCCTGGCAAGGTTTAAAACTCTCAAGTCACACAAATGATTCACATTTTCAATTTTGGTAATCTGTTTAAAAAGGAAAAAAGAAAACGAGCATGATTAGCATATACATGTTACAAAACTCCAAAAATAAATTATTCAAGTCACCAGATTTAGTCCAAATTTATACAGAGATACTTAAAGTCCATTTAAATGTCTCATGCTGCAAGTCTTATGAAGTCATTTAACTTGTGAATATTAGCTCCTCTTAATTGATAATTTAATTGATAATTTAATTAATTGATAATTTAACCAGGATAAACATATCAAGTAAATTTCCTCAAATACTGAGGCCCTTGGAGCTGCTCTAAGGCTGTAGGGTCCCCCGGCTACACACTACCTGTCATAGAGACAACTCTGACCCCAAGCCACAGGCTCACGATACTTAGACAAGGCAGATCAAGCTTCTCAGAGCACAAGTGAAGGACAGGACTGACATGGGATTGCCAGGACTTGAGAGCTGGAAGAGTCTGAACGGAAAACTCAAAGGAAGTAAGAGCCCCAGTGGGAGGAAAGATGGACTCTGTAACAGAAGTACTTAGGATGGGTGACACCGCTCAGTCAGGGTGACACCACTCAGTCAGGGTGCAGTGGTGGGCACTGCCCTGTAGAACAAAAGAACTGAGTGAGGTAACCCAATCACAAAAGAACACACATGGTATGCACTAACTAATTGTTGGATATTAGCCCAGAAGCTTGAAATATCCAAGATTCAACTCACAGACCACGTGAAGCTCATGAGAAGGAAGACCAAGTGGGGGCGCTTTGGTCTTTCTTAGAAGGAGTAACAAAATACTCAAGGGAGCAAATATGGAGACAAAGTGTGGGACAGAAACTGAAGGAAGGGCCGTCTGGAGACCATTCCACCTGGGTATCCATCCCATGTGCAGTCATCAAAGGTAGACACTGATGTGGATGTCAGGAAGTGCATGCTGACAGGAATCTGATATAGCTGCCTCCTTAGTGGTCTTCCAGAGTTTGACATATTCAGAGGCGGATGCTCACAGCTAACCATTGAACTGATCAAGGGGTTCCCAATGGAGGCGTTAGAGTGAAGACTGAAGGAGCTGAAAGGCTTTGTGGCCCCATGAGGAGAGTGACAATACCAACCAACCAGAGCTCCCAGGGTCTAAACCACCAGCCTGGGAGCACTTAGGGAGGGATCCATGGCTCTAGCTGTATATGCAAGGGAGGATGGTCCTGTCAGGCATAAGTGGAGAGGAGATCCTTGGTCCCAAGAAGGCTGGACACTGTGTGTGGGGGAATTAGAGGGTGGGGAGGTGGGAGTAGGGGCTAGGTAGGGGCACATCCACAGAGAAGTAGGAGGAAGGGCGATGGGATAAGGGGTTCCTAGGTGGGGAGGAGGGGATGGGGTAAGGGGATAACATCTGAAATGTAAATAAAATATCTAATAAAAAATGAAAAAAAAAGAAAATATCATCCTGAATGAAGTAACTCAGACCCAAAATGACATGCATGGTATGTACTCAATAATAAATGGATATTAGCCAAAAAGTACCGAATACTTAGGATACAACCTACAGACCTTAACAAATGTAATAAGCAGAAAGGTCCAAGTGAGGATACTTCAATCCTCTTAGAAGGGGGAAGGAAATAATCACTAGAGGCAGAGGGAGGGAGTGACCTGGATGAGAGCAGGGAGAGGGAGGGGGAAAGGGGAACAGGACAAGAAGTGGGGGGATAGGAGAGAAACCCAGAGGGCCAAGAGAATGAATGGAAACAAGCAGCCTGGGGGCTGGGGGAGGTGGGAAACCCTCTAGAAAGTATCAGATATCCAAGAGGTGAGAGACTCTCAGGATTCAATGGGGGTGACCTTAGCCAAAATGTTCAACATTGGGGAGAGGGAACTCGAAAAGTCTACCTCCAGTAGATAGACAGAGTCTCAAGTGGAGGAACAAGGTTACTAACTCACAGTCAAAATTTCTGACCCACAGTTTTTCCTATCTAAAAGAACTGTAAAAAGAACTGTACTCTAAAGAACTGTAGGGACAAAAATGGAGAATCAACTGAAGGAAAGGTTGCCCATTGACTGGTGCAACTTTGGATCCATCTCATGGGGTAGACACCAAGGCCTGATACTATTCCTAATGCTGTCATGTGCTTACAGATGGGAGTATGGCATGGAGAGACCCTACCAGCAGCTGGCTGAGACAGAAGCAGAGCCTCACACCCAACCATTGGACTGAACTCAGGGACCCCTATGGTTGAATTAGGGAAAGGATTGAAGAAGTTGAAAGGGAGACTGACCCCATAAGAAGACCATCAGTCTCAACTAACCCAGACCCCAGGGAGCTCTCAGAGACTGAGTCACAAACCAGGAGGCATACACAAGCAAGTCAGAGGCCCCTGGCACATATGTAACAAAAGTCTGCATGGTTTGGCCTCAGTGGGAGAAGACGCACTTAATCCTCAAGAGACTTGTGGCTCCAGCAAAAGGGAAGGTCTGGTGGTAGGGAACACCCTCCCGAAGAAAAGGGGGAGGAAGAATGGAATGAGGAACTGTGGGAGGGGGGACGGAAAGGAGGGGCAACAACTAGAATGTAAATAAATTACATAATTAATTTTTTTTTAAAAAAAGAACTTAGGTTGTAGACGCCACACAAGCACATACACAGAGGGTCACACAAGCACATACACAGAAGGCCACACAAGCACATATACAGAGGGTCATACAAGCACATACACAAAGGGTCACAGCAGGATTTTAAGTCCCACTGTTACTTCTCAGCCAACAAAGCACAGCAGGATGAGTGTCTCCAACACAGGATGGGGGAGGGAAACTCAACAGGATGCCCTTAAGAAACTCACACTTAAGTGACTCACACTTTCATTAAGGGGATATATTTCAGGGACTAGAGAGACCCTTAGGGTTGAGAGCTTGCTGATGTGACAGAGGACCAGAATTCAGTTCCCAGCTCCTACATGAAGGCTCACAACTGCCTGTAAGTCCAGCTCTAAGGAATACAGTACCCCCTCTGACGAATGTGAATGTGCACACACACAAACATGCATTTACTCAGACACACACATCTTTTTTTAAACAATAGAATCCACCATCAGGGGCTATATCTGCTCCTTTATGTTGCTATGACAATTTGTTATTTTTTAATCTAATACTTTAAATCATGTTTGCTCAAAGAATCTCTTTTTAGATTCCTAACTAATTTCCATGCTGTAATCTAGGCTCTGCAGTCTCATTTGGATTCTTTCTAGGCTCAAGAAGAGACATATGCATGGCTGTATTATAAATTGATAATATATGAAGGTAACCTGTGGTCATGGTTAAAATTTGTTTTAATATTATTCATCTAACTGATTTAAAGTGAAATAAAGTTATATAAGTTTTTAAAAAGAAATAACAAGGTTACAAAGACTTGTAGATGGCAGAACTGTACAAGCAGATATGTACAAACAGGTAGTTTGACATTAAATATATGATTTAATTTAAATATATGGACAATAAAATTGCAATATAGAGACTATAATAAAGGAAATTAGTAATGAAAGCACAAGCTTGAAAAACTCAAAGAGAAAAGGCAGAAAGAGAACGGCCTACTGCACAGACAGACACTGATGCTGGGACACTGAGGACGAAAGCCTAACTGGGAACCACACTGATTAGAGCCCTGGGCTTCTGAACACGGGATTGCTATATGCTCTGGTGTTTGGACACTTTCCCACCATGGACAAGGAAAAGGCAGTGTCTGTCAACCACAGGAAGGGTGTGTTCTCCCTGAGAAAGCTATTACTGAATCTTCTAGAAGCATTTTGTATCTTTTTGAAGCATCTCTAGAAAAACAAAGCCAACTCAAAATGTAGACGAGAAGCTAGAGCCAATCTCCCAGATTCCAGAGTATTTACCACCTACTCTCACACAGGAAGCTAGGCCTTGATGTTTCCAGTTTTGAAATATTTATTCAACCCATCAACTTACATATCTGGCACTAACATGTTCCCATCATGAGATTATTACAGCTGGCGTGGCAACTGTAATGTCTCCACAGAACAGTTTCCCTGTCTACTGATCAGTTTTCTATCACCTTGATACAAATCAGTTATTCAGGAGGAAGAAATATCAACTGAAGCATGCCTCCATCACACTGGCCTAGAGGTAAGTCTGTGGAGCATTTTCTTTACTCACGTATGTGGGTCACCCAGCCCACTGGTCCCGATTGCTATAGGAAAGCAGGCCGGACACATGATGGAGAGCAAGCCAGTAGAAGCACTCCTCCATGGCCTCTGCTTCAGTCTCTGCTTCCATGTTCTTGTCTGACTTCCACTGAAGATGGACCACAGACTTTAAAACTGAAATAAGCCCTTCCCTCTTGAAGATGATTTTGGTCATGCTATTTACCACAGCATTGAAAACACACTAAGACATCCAATCCGTTTCCTGACTAGAGCCATCACTCCTCCAGACTTTCACGTCCATAGGACAACTGTGTTCACTAACTTTAATTTCTAATGAAGTAGAATAAGCTAGCTAGAAGAGACCAATATTAGACATTTATTTATTTATTTATTTATTTATTTATTTTAGTGTTTCCCTTAAAGCACTGCCTGTGCCACCCTTTGCCAAACATGGCTTCACCGGCCACCTGAAACAGAACAACCTAGAGAAGCAGCCGAGACAACCTGCTGACTGTCACACAGGAAGCCTCGCTCCCCTGCCCCCCACCCCGTTGTTTCAGATATAAAATGAGTACAGACTGGCTCTGGCATGGAAGCCTCTCAGGAGCTGTCCTGGCTTCCATCCACGGGTAACATCTCTCTTCCCCGCTCACGGTTGTCAGAGCGCTTACTCCAGGAAGGTTTCCACAGTGCTAATGAGAATGAACTCTAATCACTTAACTGATGCCTAGGTGCTCTTTCTTCCTATGACATTCATTCATGACTGTAGGGCAGAGAACAACCTGCGGAAGCTGGTTCTCTCCTTCCACTATGTGGGTTCCAGGGACAGAACTCGGGTCGCCAGGTTTGGGAGCACATGCCTGCCTTTACCCCTGAGCTATCTCACAGGCTCTGGTGCTAATTTGATGTTTGTACCGAAAGGTTCATCTCTGGATGTTTTAGGACCCTAACATCACAATGACTGTTCCTCTTCTCTCTGAAATACGCCAAAGTTCTGCTGGTTGAAGTTGGATATTGTGGAAGAAGACTCAGATTCTCATTTCAAATTCCCTCCTTGTAACTTCAGAACTTTAGAAAATAACTGTTTGGCACAAATGTGAAATCTTATTATCAGGCTTTCAGAGCACAATGAAGTTATGAGACATGCAATGAGGTGAGCATAGAAGGGTTTCGTTAACAGTGGTCGGCGGACAATGCTTGTACACGATCCAAGGACATGGCATTCGTGTATAGGTAGGTGCCTGGAAACTCTCAAAGGTATATCATAACTTGAAAAACAAACGATGTCTTCGTTATTTTTATATCAAACCAGCCTTGCTAAAAGTATTATCATCATAAAAGCTTTACTTGTAGTAAAAGTTTTAAAAACAGTATGTTTGACAGCTGATCTGGTTCCCAAGTGGACCAGACATGGACTCAACTAAACTACTAGCCAATGAGCACTAGAGTGATGTTCTTCATCAGGTCACTTTACTTGAAGAGGGAAGACCCACCCTAAATTGGGGGGTCTCCTCTGGTAGCAGCCCAGGTCAAAGGACTCAGAAGAGAGAAAGTTCTTTTTCCCTGCTTGTCCTCACTCTTGCTGGCAAGGTCTGCTGCTGTGGCATTCCTTGACTGATGTTAGAACCAACTTCTCTGGGCTTTCACTGTAAACCTAAGACCAGCAGCTCTCCCAGAATCCTCCAGGCCTTTGCACCCGACTAGACCTGCTAAAACACCCAGCATCATGGACTGAGCAAATAGGAGATTTTTGGTCTCTCCAGGGGGAGACAGTCATTGTTGGACTGTATGAGAGAGTTTAATAACACACACACACACACACACAAATAGGGCAGGAACTTGGAGGTAGGAGCCGAAGCAGAAGCCATGGAGGAGTGCTGCTTACTGGCTTGCTTATCATGGTTTGTTCAGCCTGCTCTCTTAAAAATTCTGGGACCACCAGCCCAGAGATAGCACTGCCCACAATGGGCTGGGCTCTCCCCTATCAAGTCACTAATTAAGAAAAAAAGCCTTAAGGCTGGATCTTATGGAAGCATTTTATCAATTGAGGGTTCCTTCTTTTCAGATAACTTTGGCTTGCATCCAATTGACACAAAGCTAGCCAGCACATATACATTATATGAGTTCCGTTCCTGAAGAGAACCCTGACTAATAGGTATCCTACAAGAAAAAATAACACTTTATTAGTGCAATGAAACCAACTTTAAAAACCTACAAGGGCATGATGGTCATGAAATCCAGGACACGGATGACCAGGGACGAAGCAAGGGGCAGGGAGAAGGGAGAAACTCTGAAGCAAAAGGAGGTCAGTAAGAATGGCTCTTGAGTTTTGTCATTTAAGTACAAATTATCACAACTAGACAGATCCAGGGTCTCATCTGTGATTTACTTCTAAGAAACTATGAAATCCTGCATCAAAAGGTTGAAGACCTTAGAAGTCAGTAAGTCCATAAAGTAACTCTTACAATTCCATGTTAGCATGATTATAACACAAAATGTGCCGGAGACTTTCAAAGGAGAAGGGAGGGAGACAGGGATGTAAGGATGGAGGGTGGGAGGGGAGAAGAAAAAGAAGGGAAAGGGGGGTAGAGGAAAAGAGCTGTACCGTACCTGATTCCCATGAAGGTCCAAGACATCTAAATTTTTTAGATTCTCCAGATTTGAGATTTTCTTGATTCTGAAAATCAGAATAAGCAGAATTGAATAGAAATGCAGACACTTCACATCTATCTGTAAGTCAAAGCCTGCCGAAGAGAGAGGTATACTCATTTTAATACTTGAATTCTTGCTCTTCCCACTGCACACAGAGTAGTAACAGATGCATCAATATCTTACTTTAGAGAAAAGCAATTCTACTTCCAACCTTAGATCAAAGTGTGTGTTGGGAAGTAAGGAGTAGTGCCAGGCACAGGGGCACAGGCCTATAGTCCCAACTACTTGAAAGGCTAAAGCAAGATGATCACTTGAGTCCAGAAGTTTGGGAATTCAGAGAGAGCCTGGGACAACAGAGCAAGACGATGCTTTAAAATAAAAAAAAAATAAAAGAATTTAAAATTCATTGCTAAAATTGAAACTCCGCTGGTGGTTGGGTCTACCCATGCTCTTCTCATTGCTGCCTTCTAGTAAAACCTCACCTTTATCACCAAGTGTCCACCGTTACCTATGCCTGCTGTCATCATTTATTGTCTCAAAGAACACTGTCTACCTTCCTCAGTGCTTCCAGAAGGCAAACCACCATGCTAGCACAGTGCACACCTAAACCTCGTGAATGTCTAACGCCTTCAGGCCTTGGCCAGCTGACATCGTCAGAACAAGGACTCCACTGCCACCCAATTCAATCTAACCTACTGATAAGAACAGTCTTCCTCTCCCACCCTGCACCACTACAGCACGGCTTTAGTTCTTCTCCCACTTCAGACATACCACACTCCCCACAACCCCCTTACTTGTCTCTCCTCAGTCTGTTCTTTTCCTGGAAAACAATCTAAACTACCAGTACTCCTAATTCACTTCATTCAACCCATGAGCATCCTTGTGGACTCACGACCTTCACTGAAAGCAGGATATGCCATCCTAGCCATCAACCCATGAGCATCCTTATGAATTCAAAAGCCTTTACCTAAGGCCTGGTACTTCAGACCATCCTAGCTAACATCCAAATATCTGGTTAACAGATGATTTCTCTTTTCACTTGGTTTTGGTCTTGTTTGTTTGTTTGTTTGTTTGTTAGAACACTTGGAGGAAGTTACAGAAGCCCACGCATATGTTCGTCAGAGCCATGCTTTCTAACAGCAATCTGATCTCACGGGTGCTAAGAAAGCTACTGATCCCATTTTGCCATCTTCCCTAAAACAGTGGTTCAAACTCTTATGTGAATCATACTCAGCTGGAGAGCTTGCTAAAACATCAACCATCAGCTCCTCCCATTCTCCTGTGAGCCAGCTTTGTCCTCCAGCTGGTTTCCGTATTGAGCTATGCAAACACTGGTTAAGCTACTTATCCAGAAATACGGTGTGTGTGTGAGGGGAGGGTATGTGTGTGTGCATATGTATGAGCATTATGGTGTATGTGTGTGTGTATATATGTGTAAGTGTGTGCATGTATGTGTGTGCATACATATGTGTGATGTGTATGTGCGTGTGGGATGTATGTGCATGTGGTGTGTGTGTGTGTGTGTGTGTGTGTACACTCACTTGTGTGTATGGAGGCGCGTATGAAGGTCTGAGGTTGATGTAAGGAGGTCTTGCTCTAATCACTTCTCTCTTTTTTCTCTTTTTTGTTGTTGTTTAGTTTGGTTTTTCTTATAGAGACAGGATGTTTTTCCAAACCTGAAGCTCACCATTTTGAGTATACCACATGGCCAGCAAGCCCCAGTAATCTGCCTGTCTCTGCTGCCTATCCCTGGGGTTACAAGTTATATAACCATGCCTGGCATTTTTAAGTGGAAACCTCATGTTCTCATGCTTATGGCGACCACTGAGCCATTTTTCCAGCCCCAGTATTAAGCATTTAACATTTTTGAAACTTATCTCCAGGGATAAGAGAAACTGTCTTCAGCCAGAACACTCTGATATAGAGGCCCAGTGGAGCCCACGGGTAGTTATCAGAGTCTAGGGTCTCAATGGACCCCATGTGCTGTTATCAGAGCAAAGTGGGGCTGGAGGTTCTTGGGAAATCATGTAAATGACATCAAACCTGAGACCAAGGGCTGAAAGGACATGCAATGGCACTGACCAAGCTCCATTGGTCACCTGAACCTAGAAGCTTGTAGGCTCTGGTTCCACTGCCTGGGGAGTTTTCAAAAGAAGCTAGAGAAATCTGTTCTAACGGGGCAGAAAGCCATCCACAACACACAGCTGGAGCTACTCAGTCTGGTCCCTTCTGCTCTCCAGAGCTCACCAGAGTGCACCAGAGCTCTCCATAGGACTTCTGTCAGATGTTCCAACCAGGAGCACTGGCGACTGGTTTTGGAATCAGAGGTATATGCTGTGGATCCTTGAGGGACACCTGATCATGGAAAATGTAGCAAGTTTTGAGGAGACATTTCACTTTCATTCACATGTCATAGCAGTTCAACAACTGTTTGACAGTGTCTCCTTCTATGAAAATCAAAGCATACCTTTCCAGAGCAAGCAAGCAAAAAGACCAAGGAGGAGGAAGAGAAGAAGGAGGAAGGAGTCTGTATTAGATTGTTCCTACTGGAACAAAGGCAGCAAAATAAGGACACAGCAGAGGGCACTAGGTCTCTCAGTGTAGGAAACCCCAAGAACTTCAATAAGGCCAAAACAATGCTGTCTTCTGGGTCAAGAGGAACAAACTGTTTCTGACAAACTGAAAAGTAGAAACAGGTGGAAAGACTAGTGAGATGATTCTCACTGATGCCACTAGGCCTGGCATCCAGATAGTGCTTAAAATAAGAGGTGGGGTCACAGATGTCTCGAAAAGGGAGACTTTCAGGCAGTGATACTGAAGAATAAATATGAGCTGGACACTAATAACTGAGAGAACCAGAAAGGAGCCCTGTCTGTGAGAGCCAGCATGGAGCACCCAGAAAGACAAGCCTTAAGGCCAGCAGCCGATCGATGGCCTCCCTCCTCACATTGCTCAGGCAGCTGCCTGGAAACACACCCCTGCTGTGTGACTGACTGTTTTGTACACAGTAGACTAGGCCAGATGCATTCCACTGCTCCATTTCCACATCTCTAAAAGGAAAGGACTATTTCTGATGTCACTTCAAATATTGATGGTCCATAGTTTATTAATTTCCCAAATTCTCTCAAACTATGTGAAGCTGTTTCTTTGTGTGTTTAATTACGTGATCATGTGTGTGAAGGGCAAGTGTGTACAGTGCTCACAGGGGCCAGAAGAGGCCATCAGATCCCATGGGCTGGAGCTGGTTGAGGGCAGGCCTGATGTGGATACTGGGACATGAACTTGGGTCTTCTGCCAAGACAGTATAAGTTCTTAATCACTGAGCCAGCTCTCCAGCCCCTCAAAATCTGTTATTTATTTTTTAGTGGAATTATTAATACAACATTTGAACTAATAAACTACACTGATAGAAACTTCAGAGAAACATCAGAGAAAATACAATCCTAAAATTCTGGGACATGACCTTGAGGATACAGAACTAAGAACACAACATCTACAAACACAGCACTTCAAATGTTATATAATTTGGGATGAAGTCATTTCAGAAAACTGTAGAAGCAGGAAGGTCATACTGACCTCTTCCTACCATTTTACCCTAAGGCCATAAAAGACTCTCTGACCTACGTCCTCTGGGAGAACATCATAAGACCCTCAGTTCAGACTCTCTGACCTATGTCCTCTGGGAGAACATCATAAGACCCTGAGTTCAGAAGAGTCCTGCCTAGAAACAGAAAGCAACAGGAATGGACAGACACAGGAAGAGCATGCTCAAACAAGTCTTGCTGAGTTACCCAGGTTCCCACATGGACCACAGTTCTCTGTCCAATCACATTCTTCTAAGGTTGCCCACTACCCATCAAACCTAGGAAGACTAACGAACTTTAACCTCCTTCTTTGGGCCTTCTTATCTGAAGACCACCAAGTCACATAAAGTTAAACTAATATGTTAGGATCTTCTCTTATGAATTGCTCTTCTCATCAGGGTGTCAGCTACGAACCTTGCAAAGGGCAAAAGACAATGGTGTCACTAACTATTAGACTCTGCTAATCCTTCCTCTAAGGTACTGAAAAGCTATTTGGTAAAACAGAATGAAAAGTCTTGAGTACTCTTAAGGCCATGAGTCAGGAATTGCATAGCTCCTGTATGGCAAAGCTCAAGACAAGGGTCCAGGGCAGTGCACAGACAAGACATGACACTAAAACATACTGAGGGTTGGAGGGGGGGGTGCCACTATTAAGAGCACTTGCTGCTTTTGCAGGGGACCTGAGTTTGGTTCTCAATACCCAGAGCAGGCGACTCACAATGGCCTGCAGCTCCAGGGGGTCTAATGCCTTCTTCTGGCCTCCACAGACACCAGGCATACAGGAGTCTGTGCAGAGATATACACTTAAGAAAACATACACACACACAGGTACATAAACTGAAAAACATAAGCAAGTCTCTAAATAAAGACATAGAGTGTCACAGAGAGTGACACACTCTGAAAAAGTCAAGCGTGGAGCTGACAATCACAAAGGAGTCAATGCCTCCCTCCAGCAAACACTAACAAAACTGGCAGGTGAGTCACACAAGCCTCAAGGGAACACACATGCTTACAATAGACCCTAGGAAGTCATACGGTGAGAGCCAGGATCACCTGCTCCGACTCCGTAAGACATGGCACTGGAGCAGGGCCAGCAGGCCTGGCAGAGTGAACCCCACAGAACAGATCATAAAGGGATTTCAGTGCTAGACCTCAAACCCAGGCTGCCATGCATGCCAGGCCAGTGACTTCCACCGAGCTTTCCTCTCTAACGCCAACAGTGTTCCTCTACTGTGACTTACCATCTGAACACTACCTGGATTCTACCAGGCTACAGGCAAGAACTTCTCCATAGCTTAGCAGTGAGGAGTGCTGCCTATACAAACACATGGAACTGAATCTGCATCAACAACACCCACATTGAAAGCAGGGTGCAGCAGTGTCCACCAAAATCCCAGCACTGCAGAGGTGGAAGAAGGAATCTCCTGAGTGCTCACACACAGTCTAGTGCCTCCTCATACTCAAAATGCAAGCTATATATTCAGTGAGAGACAGAAAAGGGCAGAGAGTGACAGAGCAGGACACCAAAGGTTCTCCTCCAGCCTCTATATACACTGTAAGCACCAGCACAGACATGTGCACATATATGCATATATTCACGCACACACACAAGCACACATACATATACACACGTCCAGTGCACATATACACACACCCTACATACACATGCCCCCCAAACACACGCCACAGGTATATACCCAAATACACAGAGAATCTGCTTTGCAAATACCTGTTTTTCCCTAATAGGAGAACACGAAGGGACTTCAGAGTGGAAAGCCCACTAATTTCTTCAATCTGGTTATCATATAAGTCCAAGAAGATTAATCTCTGTAGATTAGAAATATTTTGGATCCGAGTTATAAAATTGTGCTGAAAGTTCAACAAACGAAGATGCTCTTCCCCGTCGATGATAGGGCACACAGTCAACTTTTGTCTGGAAAAAACGTAAGGTCAGTCAGACTCGCAGTCAGCATCCTGCCTCCTCCTTAGCTACTGTTAAGTGGTGAGTGCATCCAGGCTGTGAGGTGGGAAGGGGGAGCTGGGGTGCAGATGGCTCCGGAGGTAAGAGCACTGACTGCTCTGCAGAGGACCCAGGTTCAGCTCCCTGTAGCTTGCATCTGCCTGTGACTCCATTCAGGGTATGTCGGCCCCCTGATCTGACCTTCACAGGCTCAGGAACGTATTGTAGTACAGACATACACTCAGGCACACATGCATATACATAAAACCAGTATTTTAAAAAGAAAAAGGTAATCTGGATCACTTCCTGCCCCCGAGGGATGGGACCTAAATTTAATGGTGAATTGTGCACACAAAAAAGGCCAATAGGCACTAACAAGGGAGAGTCCTAGCGTTCAGTCTAAACTCTCAGTGCACTTTACAAGTCTCCAGTGCTAATGATTTCACGTGGCATTAACATCAACAGGTTTCTAATGTAATTGTCTCCTATGGGAGAGGTTCAGGTGGTCAAACCACATCACAAAGACAGAAAAATAAATGCCTTGGTTTCGGTCACTGGTGTCATGGTAGCAAGACCCCTACAGACGGACTTCTTTTAGAATCACTGACTCACAGAATGCTAATGAGAGCAAGAAGAGACCCTGCCATCTACAACTGGGGACACTCATGGAATATTCCACCTGAAGCACCTTCATTGCAAGACAACCCTACTGAACCTCTCTGCAGAAAGCTGGATGCTGGGTTCGACTGTCCAACACTAACTTTAACTCTGCAGAGCATTCATTCTTCTCCGAAGTGGGATGGAGACATAACTCTGAGTATGTCTAATTGTATTTACCAGTGAGCCTCTTCTATAAAGACAGATGGACTGCTTCCGTTGTGAAGCAAGTAAGTGCATGGCCCATAGAGAACTCTACCCATCATAACATGGCCTAGGAGGCTCTACCCAGACCATAAAATGGTCCTGCAGGATTCTGCATGGAGATCCAAAGGCTCTTCAAGGAAAATGCAGCTGTCTCTGCATCAACAATATTAGCGTGACTCATCAGAAACATCACTTCAGTGAAGACCACATGGGTGGAAGTTTTGAAGAAAATAAATCAGAATGCTATGAACACAGGCAGAATACAGAAGTGATCAGAATTCTTTTGCAGTGAAAAAAAAAGAATGGTTAGCAGGAACAGATAAGGGAATATTAATGGCATACACTGGATATGATGTTTTATAACAGACCTTTAAAGCTGTGCATAGCGGTGAATGCTTTTAATCCCAGCATGTGGGAAGCAGAGGCAGGTGCATAGCTGAGTTTGAGGAAACTGTAGGCTACATACTGAGTTCTAAGCCAACAGATACAGAATGAAATCCTATCTCAGAGAGAGGAGGGGTGGGCAGAGAGAGAGGCCTTGGAGAAGTTGGTTTAAGAGAAAAGAGAAGTAAAAACCATTGGGCAACAGTATCAGTTTTGTGTGGCTCGTATTCAGAAATCATCTCATGTTTTATTCTCTCACAGACGACATTTGCTGTGCAAACTATAGCTTAAATGATTACAAGTACGCTAGTGGAAATTTGTATCTTTGCTCTTAACAAAACTTGAAGCGTGCCTTCCCTGCTCAATGTGTGCCGTTCCTTTGTCTCTCTCAGTGAAGGCTATAACTCCAATCCTGGAGTCAGCTGTCACTTACATGGGAAAGCACTTCCTGCCCTCCTTTCACAAACTGATATGCCTTGAAATCAAGTGAGCAATAGCATAAGGACCCCCAAGAGGGCCTTGTCACACCTGTAGGAGTCTTGGGTTCTGACCCCTGCCCATTACTGACACCGGTACAGGACTGAATTATTGACTTCTGTTTCCTTCTTAGAGCTAATGGGCTTCCTTCCTGTATTTCAGGCCTACTTTCAAATCAGTGAGGGCCAAGAATCTCTTCTTAGGGTTAGAATCTTCTCTTGAACACTCAGTCCCTGACCAGAAATCCATACACTAAATGCAGAAATCACTCACTACTGTTACCCACTGGCTGTCAAGCAATTGTTTCCCAAGGTGGTTCTTCATTGCTCGCCCAACTTTCTTGACTACACATATGACAGCTTACGGCATCTAATATCAAACACACACGACGACTGGGTTACTATTCTTGCCTGTATTTTTAAAGACTGAAGGAGTAGTTCCTACATAATCCTTCAAACATTAAAATATAAGGCAGCACTTAGGATGGGAATCTCAAAACCCACCTACTTTCTAAAGCTGTCATGAGAGATGTTGCTCTCAACTAGAGCTCTGCCTACAGAACAGAGCCTTCCCCTGATACACGCAGGAGGGTCGATCCCACATGTCAGCTGCACTCTGCCCTGGGCAGCTGTGCACAGCAGAGATGTTCTGTTTGATCCTCCATCCAATGAACCATTACAGATCTCTTCCTCGTTATAAAGAAGGGCATCAAACCTTAGATATTAACCCCCTTATACGTCACTTTATCAAGAGCCCACTTTACTCTAGGCTCTGTTCTAGGTGCCTGAGACACATATTTGAACAAAAATTATCATTTATGAAACGTATATTCTAGGAGGTCACAGACTTATAAACCTAAGTCAATATTTAACATGTTAAAGGATGTTACGTACTAAGGTGGGAAATAAAGCAGAGAAGGGGGCATGTGAGGGTGGTAGGGACTGTTTCTGGGGAGAGGATGGCCACAGAAAGTCACCTTTGGGTCGAGGACATCTGAGGGAAGCACGCAGGAGACACAGATACTGTGAAAGTAGAAAAGAAACCGTCCTCACCTTTCTAGGGTCAGCCTGTCTGAGTACAGAGTTTTCTCTTCAGAAGAACGCTGGAGAATAGGGAATGATGGCATTGATGAGCTCACCAGATTAATGTGATCACCTATAGAGAACGATACACAGATCACTTGATTAAGGCAAATCTTAGCCATGAAACTAGACCCACTGTTTAGAGTTCTTTGGCGCCTTACAGATATCTTTTCTAGCTATTTCCACAGCTTCTATACTGGAAGCTGATTATTACTGTGGGGTAGTTGTCTTCTCAACACTAAACTCTGTGCTCTGTGGGTGCCAAATAGCTTTCCCTTGTCTTACGGGTCAGCGGAAAGATCCAGAAGTACGCTAGTGCTGCCCTTATCCCTTCACAATTCTGACTCCTGACACTACATGCCAACTACATCTTACGCTATGATAGCCCCTCATTACCAGATACATTGGGGCCAGCACTATGACAGCCCTGCCGGATTCTGGGCTTTGAAGGTGTCTGAATGGAAGAGTCTCCAAATGCTGACAAGGAGGTTGTGGCAGTTCTCATGTCCAGCCCACAGAGTTCTGTCACGTTAGTTGTGGATGAGATGCATGATGACTTATTACGAGGCGAAGGACTTATTACTCTTCCATCTCCTTCAAAATATCAAAGAGTTTATCACAAAGCTACATAATACATGACTTTGCTATAGGCTATACACAGAAAGCAGTTTGGGATAGCAGATGTAAACCTCACATCATCGTTTTCTTCCTTCTGTGTAGGCACCCACTATTACTAGAGGATGCTGCAAAGACTCCAAAGTGGGTGTCAATAAATCTAGGACACTGTAGTTCGGATCCAGAGAGAATGTGATACCCCATGAAGTTGATGGGCTGTTGGCAGGGTGTTTCTGATCGTAAGAAGCTTTTCATCTTAGAGAAAAAACTCATATGAAATGAGTAGGCTGGAAAAATGTGCAAAACACAGACTGTAAAAGGACAGTCAGTGCTGCAAAGACAGCTCAGTGGATAAGAGCACTGGCCGCTCCTAACAGAAGACTTAGGTTTGATCACCAGTAACCATATATGGCAGCTTACACCCACCCAACTCTGGAGGCTCCAACTCCCTCTTCTGGCCTCTATAGGCACTGCATGATTGTGGCACAGACACATGCAAGCAAACATTGACACACAAGTTCTAAAAATACTTATAACTAATCTTTTAAAAAGTACAGTATATTTGTGCTTAAGAGTGTCTAGTTACTGGCTAACAAAGAACAGCACAGATGAGTTTAAGAAGAGGCAGATACCAAAACACATTCTAAAGAACTAGAAGCGTATAGAATGGTCTGGAAGCAATGATGATAAGTTTCAAAAATGTGAACACCAGAGTATATTTACTATATCTTGCTCTGTATATAGAGTCCGCTGAAGTCAGCGAGTGATAAAGAAGTCCGTGATGGGGTCCATCGGCAGGATGCGAACCCGAGGGGGCCACGGCATTCTGCTGCTTCAACTACCCAGTAAGAGGAAAAACAAGCCTGCAAGCTGACACACTTTCAGGAGGTCACTAAAGATAAAGTAATAACGTAAAATCAAGTCACACATGGCTTGTAACTGTAAAGAGGAGTGTCAGTATCAGCTGGCCTTTTCAGGTCTACAAGGCCAAGGCATCTCACTCTGCCCAGAAAACAATCAATGCTCACGTCTCATTTTCCTGAGGTAACAGGAAACATCAAGACAGCTAATCACGCTGTCCCAAGAGGTAGGCTCCTAGAATCAACACTGTGTTCACCAATAAACATCAAACAGAAGGAACACTTGCAGGCAGGATCCCCAAGCCACAGGAACCAGCACGCTGGAGTCCAAAGCCGAAAACAGCCCAAGGATTAGCTCCAGCTTAAAGATTAGCTGCCAAGGTCAGCGGAAGATGACGAAAGAAAACTCAGAAGAATAAAGAATCTCATTTTCTCTGATGAACATTTCATTACAGTCTTTGAATTACTATTAAAACTTCAAGGCAATCTAAGATTTACCAGCAGATCAAAACTGTCCATGACTTAGAATGCAGAGGCAGATATCAAAGAATAAATTTCATGTGTACTTTATAAATAAAAGAATTCTACATGCTTCAGCTTCTCAGACATACAAACTTGTCATTATTTTCAGCTGATAAGTTTACCATTGATGCAATATACATCAGACCATAAATGGCAAAAGACAAAAATGATTAGGTAAAAAAAGACCTTAAAATCTACATACAAAAACATGTGATGGGCTCACAAGGGAGTCTTTGAACACCCATGTGTCTTTGTGGGTGTAAGCACTCACATGGAGACTGCCTCGAGGGCTGGGCTTTCACAGAAGTGTTGGTGCCAGCCTTCTGTCATGCTTGCCCTAACATCCCCACCAGATCTGTAAGCTCCTGAGAGCTGGGTCTTGTTTTACATTCTCAGCAGAACTTAGATGCAGGAGGCAACTGCTTTTCCAGTGTGTGGGAGCTTAACTCAAAATCTACTTTGTGTTTTATTTCTATTAAAAAGAGAAAATCAGAAATTCCTGCATTTTAGTATAAGTAGTACCTCATAGTGCCCAGAGGCACAATGGTCTACAGCCAGTAAGCACTCTCTGTGTTGCAGACTAGAGAGACTGTGGATGGTTGTGTGAGAGGGCGGATGACGGACAGGTGGCCGCAGGGACAGCACAGCACACTGTGGAGCCCACTGCCTCCTCCCACCGTCACAGATTTTACATGATTCCTTAAAGGACTTAATGAGATCTCGGTAGCATCACTGGAGACCCCCAACAGGCCTGGAGGAAAGCACACGTCGGGGCTTAGACCGACTAGTTCTGAAACATCAAGTTCCTTTGTTTTTAACTGAGAGTGCCACTGGTCATGTTATGCTGGTAGACTGTATGTGTGGTTAATTTTAAAAAATAATAAACATCTGAAACAGGCTGTGGAGGACTAGATACGTGGGCACAGTTGATCACACAGAGGCCAAGTTTTGTCTGGCAAGATTTAAAATTTTTAAAACTTTGTAGACCTAAAATTTCCCCCAAGCGCGTATGCTCTGGGTTGTAGAAACTTGAGTATAGAACTCAAGATAATAGCTACAATGTGTCTGGCTTTCTCTGCACAGCACTGCCTAGAACATGGAAGGCGGGTGGGTGCTGGAAATGACCAAGTCCACATTTAAGACACATCAAAGGAATGCCTTGCCACACAGAATAATTTTGAATGGAATCTTTTAAATAATAAGCCAATTCAATTTTTTTTTCTGCTGAAATTTATTTTGTATTTTGTATTTTATGGGTTACCGCTTTTATATATAAAACCTTGCCTCTCGGGCTCACTAAAACCAATACAGCCACACTTTCCCTCATCAGCAAACAGCCATCAGTATCAATTATCATACAAATATGAATTAACACCAATCCCTTACTCCAATTCTAGAAAAACTGAGAAAGTAAGTTTCATTCATAGCTGAGGGGAAATTAAGATGCTATTATGTGAAAATGTAAAAGTAATTCACAATGAAGACATAAACTAACCTCTAGCTGAGAATTTTCAGGCTGGAATCTCAGCTCCCTGTTGAGAACAGTGCAGACAGCACAGTGCACACTAGAAATGCACTTGGAGCCAAACAAAAGAGGGAGACAGGGATTTCCTGCACCACAGAACTAGAGCTACGCAGATGTCAATTCCAGGAATTGACAGTCTTGGGTGGAGGATGAGGGAAAGAGAAAAGACAGGGAAGGTTATATGGGTCCAAGAGGAAGGCCCAGAGACACTCTATAGAAAACCACAAAACAAAAACAAAACCACATACTAATCAATATTCAAACTATTCAATACTGCCTTTGGTTCATACAGTAAGGAATGGACAATCAAGGGGCCTCTGTTAATCAGTCTGCTTCTACAAACATGTAGACACAGCAAACAAATCTACAGGACCAGAAAGCATGGGGAGGGGGTCAGAGGATGGGGGAGAGGATGCAGAGGGAAGCAGGTGCTCCTAGGTTGAGGAGACGGCTCGGTATCCAAGGACCCGGAACTAATCAGCCCTAGCACACACAAGTAACAAGCTCAATATAAGTCAGATGTTCTGAAGGAGACTTCACTTTGATTTTAAAAACATCTTTCAGAAGTACAAGCAAATCATATTACCTAGCATCTGCCCAAGGGTGGTCCGCACACTACATCACCACCACAGCTGTCAGAATCGACTCTGGCACTCTGAACGCATATCCACAAATACCACCCCAAACCTACAAAATCACAATGAGGAAGAGGTGGATGAACTAACAGTCTGAGCTTTTAACAAACTCCCAAGTGAGTCACACAGAGACTAAGGCTTCTGATGATACAATGCCTGCCTCTGTGACCATGTAACAGTGTGGGAAGATGACAGTTTCTTTCTACTTCCGACTTTCTACTGCTTTCTTATTTTCAAAATATTTGTCTTCCTAGAGCCTCTATCTTACTAATTAGCCATTATTTTTATCTCTAATATATGATCAAAACATTCCCTTTCACCTACTTTCAAACTAAAATGGGGAGGGGGTTGCTTTTTTGTTTGATTGTTTGTTCATTTATGCATTGGAAGCAATCCACTATGGTGTGTGTGTGTGTGTGTGTGTGTGTGTGTGTGTGTCTGTCTGTCTGTCTGTCTGTCTGTCTATGTCTATAGATCTATATTGCCAATTTTGATTTAAACAATATCAAACCAACTCTGTAACCAATTGAACTATCTCATTTTGTGATTCAGGTTTCTTGGGTTCTAGTTAATATTAAAGGATACTTTTCAAAGAGAATGAGTCTGCACTCTGCTAACTGACAGTACCTTGCCTACTCGAGTAGTTTCTCTCCAGGTCATGCTGTAAAAGTCTACCAGGAAATGATGGGGCTTCTCTATTAAGCTTGAATTCGACCTGAAAAACAATATTTAAGAAAATATATTGGTAGGGAGAAATCAACAGTCAGAAATAAACTTTATTATGAAATAACAGAAAAAAGGTGCTTTTGAAAAAAGAATGACCTCAAGAAAGGCCACATATTATATGATTCCGTTTCTATGAACTACCCACAGTTGAAAAATTCATAGACAGGAAGCATATTTCCAAGGGTTTAAGATAAGTGAGGGACAGGGAGCAACTGCTTAATGAAGTGGACACTATACATGGAATGATGGAATGTTCTAGATCTAAGTAGAGGAGATGGGCTCGCAACGCTGCAAATGTACTTAATGCCGCTGAGGTGTAAACTTTCAAACGGGATACACTGGAATTTGCATGGGAGGTGTAATTTTTCCAAACACACAATTAAAGTCAGTTACACAAGGTCAGATTATTGCCACCAACGCAATGACTGAAAGAATTATTTGCTCAATAAAAAAGTAAGGCAAGGATTCAATTGCAGGTTCAACTTTCAAATGATATTGGCAATATATTACTAAAACCTCTAATAAAAACATTAAAAAAGAAATGCAAACAACAAACGCTACATGGGACTCTTGATTTTTAAAATCCTTCACATGTCAAATTGTAACATAGTAAAATTGCCTATTTAAGAATTTTAACTCTTAATGATTTTTCATGGCAGAACCGAAAAGCACGAACCAGAATGGCCTCTCACGATTATCCATTAAAACCTTAAAGATCCATCTTCAACGACTTAAAAGGCTTCTCACTCACCCACCTTATCAGAGCAGCATTTGCACTATGTCATCATGAACACATGTCTACACACAGGAGAGGATGGTACCAAAAGGATGTTTAAAACACAGCATCCCTAAATCACGTAACGGTAGAAAAGGACCCACCTGGCGAAGGCAGGACGGAAAGTTTGACATGCAATTCATGATGCCTGATTCTAATAAGAAATACATTTTCCATTAATTCAGATGTTACTGGAGATGATCAAATGATGAGGCCAGAGGAGTCACACAAGGACATGTTCACTTTTTTTCCTAATCAGCTTCACCCTCTTAATAATTAGTGGTCGCTTCCATTCAAACCTCCCGGGGCCTCGTTTTTAGTCTCTTCCTGCTGCTGTCTGTAAACCTGGGCATTTATACTACAGAGTCCTTCCAGGTGTGTCCACTTCACAACATTTCAGGGAACAACTGATCTGTGATGGTTGAGAAGGTACAAGTTATCTAAAGGGAGAAGTGTGTTGTGTACGGATAGCCCAGGGAGGGGAGCGGGCATGCATGGGTGCTGAGGTGAGGCAGGAAAGAAAAAAAATGTATCTCAAAAACCAAATGAAAAGCCAGAGACTTCAGAAATTACCAAGATCTTACGAGTAAATGGTCTGGGTGTAGAAAGAGGGTTCAGGCTCTTCCACGGACCTTAGTCTTCTCTTCTAGTACCTATAACAGGTGTCACAACTGGCTGTAACACCAGCTCCAGGGGATCTGACACCTTCCTCCAGTCTCCACAGAGACATAGAGACAGACAGACACACACACACACAAATAAATAAGAATCTAACACTCAATACACTATGAAAACACTGTAACATTTCCACTGCTAAGCTAGTTTTTCTTCTGATTTGAAATGAGTCACAAAGTGAAATCCTCCTAAAATGTCACGTTTCATCTTTCCAGAGATGCCACCATTAAAATGACACCATCATTTTATCTATGCCTAAGAAATAAAAGCATTTCTAAATTAAATTATGCCATACAACCACTTTTAAGAAATAAATTCACCAGAAATGTTTAAATGTAAGGGGAGGGGGCTCTTGTAATGGAATGACCTAAACTGATACAAAAGGGATGATTTGGCTTTATGAAAGTAGACAGAAAATAAAGTCAGCTTTACATTGAAGACCAAAATAGATACATTCAGCCCCCAGGTCAGAATCTATTTTTAAAACATGCAACTATTAAAAAAATGCAACTATTTGTGTAAAATATCTGACTATTTTCAACTTAAATACAAATCTGCTTAAATCTTACTTTGTTTTTGTCAGAAAGTGACGACGTTTGAATAACCAGATGAAGTCCACAGTTCACCTGAAATGTAAAAGTTAAATTGTAAAATGAATTCTTAATGCACACACACCGTAGTATAAAGACATTATAAAAATTGGAACACAGTCAAATATTCCATCTTTCTTTGCTTTTCTGGTAAATGAACATTTTTCTGAAGATTTGTAAAATCAAGTCTAAGAATCAAATGCTTTCATTGATTTATTTTTCAGAATGTCAGAAGCACCGATTTCACCCACCTTGTACCTCAGGCTTTGGAGCCCTGACATTTCTCTTGCCAGTGAGGATATCAGTGTTTGAATAAAGGCGGTGGGAGTGTCTAAGAACAGGTTCCTTTCTCAATAGAAAAAAAAGAAAGGAAGGGGGTGGGGGATAACTAAAGGAATCCCAGTGTTTGCCTTGCAAACCAGCTCCACCTTCTGGGGAGCTCAGACCCTGGGCAAGATTTTAAACACCTATCATACAATATTCAAAAACTCTCAGAGTGCTTTGGACTAGCCTAGGAAGCCCTAGCCTCAATGAGACAATAGCTTGAGTAGCTCGGGTCCTAGTAATGCAGCCCATCACTTAGGACAAAGACGCCAGTCAGAGAGGACAAGACGACTGGAAAGGAAGAAAAATCAGGAAGGCCCAACTCACGTTGTTTGCAGCCCGGCCAGAAACGGAGCGGTATTTCCCGGGAATCATGGCAGGAGACAGCCCAGGATGTTCGATCCTCCTTCAAGGTAATGCTACAGCTAAGATTCAAAGAGACCAAAAGGGGTCATCTCCCAGGCAACCCGCTCAGGGGTTACCATAGAAACCACCATTTCCGGTATGGTCCTCGCCCCAGATCTGTGAGCCGTCCGGGTGGCTAGCCTTGGAGAGTATCTGTGGAGCCCGGTGCGTCAGCACTTCCTCGTTCTGGATTTTTTTTTTTTTTCAGGCGGCTTGAAAACAGCGGGAGGATCCGGAGGAGGATAAGATGAGGAAGAGGGTGGACACATCGGTGGCTATGGCAACCGTGACTTCCGGTCCTTTCCTCTTTAGGACCCGCCTCAACTCTGCCCGCGGGAAGTTTGATTCCCTCTGCCTGCTGTTGCCTGTTTTCCTGGAAAAAAAAAAAAATCGCAGGGAAGAGCTGGAGAAAGATGCCCAGAACCTTCCCATTTAGTTTGGCACTTCCACTGTGCCGAGGCAAAGAAAGATACAGCCGGACCTGAAGACAGTGAAGGAGAAGCCAGCTTTCCTGGGACCCCTGCGGGCAGAAGGACCCAGTGCGCCTGACTTAGGAGCCCCTACTGATAGCTCCAAGACTATCGACCTGTCAAAAAATGACTAAGAAAAGTGTGAAGCTACTACTGAAGACAAGTCTTGCTAATAGTTCCTTCCCTTACCAAGCTTCTTTTGACTGATACTAGCTGCCTCCAAGTTCATGTTCCTGACGACAGCTTCCCGTCATCTCCTCACTGCATACCTTCCTCCCCACACACACAGCCATAAACACTGATTACATTACAGTGCATGCGATTACCACTACTTGTTCTCTTAAAGACTTCCAAGCCCTCTTTGGGACAATCAAACTTCCGCCCTATTACCATTATGTGGATTAAACAGTGGCTCCATGACTGTGCAGAAGAAATGTTTAGTTCTAAATCTGAGAAACGCTTGCCAAGAAGTCAGGGTGGTCTGTAACTGACATTTTGGCTTTGAATTGTGAGACATGTATAGCATGACAGGGCTGAAGGCATCCTTATTTCTCAACTAGACTAAACCCATCCGTTTTACAGGAGGAGACTCATCCAAAAGTTAACTTCTTCAAGGGCCTGGAATTCTTATTATATAGTTCCAGTCACCGGGGCAATATTCTCTCTGTAATACGTACCTGCTTCCCAGATCTGGGTGGGTGCCTAAGACCCTTTCTTTAGTCATATTCTATCATCATTTGGAATACAAGCATATAATTTTTGGATCAAAATTATGAACACAACTTACATCCTTGCATATTTTTTTATCCTTTCCCTACCACAGCTATTCTGTTTAATACCACTGTCCTGAAGAATTCATACATGTAACGTTGACCTTCTTAGATTTTGGTTCTTCTATGTTCCTTTCTTTTGAGACTGATCCAGGCAGTAACCAGTTATTCCTTTCTCATTTTCCTGACACCATCAATAATGTCCTTTTTAAAAGGAATCAATTCAAATATATTTTCTCCTGATCTCTGACTTGCATATTATGTTTTTAAAAAGATTTATCTTTATGCGTGTGGGGTGGGTATGTGGGTATTAGCTAAGGCATGACTTGGTGGCCAACTCCTGGGTTTCAGTTATGGTTCTGCCAATAACTAAGCATTCTTCCTTTCCTTCCTATGTCCAAGTTCCTCATCTGTAATATAAAGATGTCATTGCATCTCTGTCATAGCCTTTTGAGAGCTGTAGAGTGTTAGCTTCTTGGAGTAATGTCTGATACACAATACTTACTGTGTTAAGCATTGGTTGTAATCACAGTCAATCCTTGGCCCGTATAGTTTGCTTCGGAAGCCTGTGTTCAGCCTGTCCTCTCTTCACTAACTCATTTTCAGGCAATGTTTTGAATGCTAAAAAACCCAGAAGCTCACAGGGACACAGATGTGGTGCTGAGCTGAAGCATGGGGGAAGAGCTAGGCAGCCAAGCCAGCTGTGTGGAGCTGCATGAGAATGTTGGAGTTAGTTCGTGCTTGTTGCAGCTGAAACTCAGGACAATTATCTATCTGATATAATCTTGACCGCAGCGCTCTCAGCAAGCCAACTGTGATGGCCGATCTGTCTATCAACTTGACTAGAACTATAATCAACTAAAATGGTTACCATTAGGAACGCCTTTGAGAAACGTCCTTGATTAGATCATATGAAGCAATAAGAGCCCACCCTCAACGTGAGTGGCACCTTCTGATGGCAGCCCAGGTGAACGGAGATGGAAAATGAAAACATTACTTTCTGCCTGCTTGCCTTCTCTCCAGATGAGCTCATCTGTCTTGTTGCATTTTCTTATCCAATAATAGAGCAAGCTTCTTCCAACATGGTCTGAAGACCAGCAGCTATCCAGGAATACTCTTGGCCTTAAGTGCCAGACTGGGACTGCAGACATCCAGCTTTGTGGACTGAGAAAACCAGCAGATTCTCAGCCTCTCTGGAGTGAGATAACCACTGTTGAACTACCCAGACCATATCCTATAAGCCAATCTAATAAATGACCTTTTAGTACAGATTAAGAATCAGTCTGTTCCTTGTAGATCCCTGATTAATATTCCAATCTTCCTGTTGCTGGCAAACACAAGGCCACTCTTTCTCATAAATGGTTCAATAATGAAGCTAGACACTCCTAAGTCCTGCTTAGTGGATTTCTATAGAGTAGTTGGATCAAACCCTAATGATCCTGTCATCCACCTATGGGAAGGACCAACTAGTCACTAACTACTGTGTTTCCTTGACCTGTTTTAGCAGATGTTCAGCTAATACCTGTTAATGATAGAGTGTTCCGTGTCTTTAAAGCTCTAGACATTTCAGGTCGTCCTGATGCTTTCTGAAGGAAACCCTGTCAATCACAGACTCATTCCTTTTGTGTATGTGTCCATTCTATTTTCCAGCTCCCCTGGAATGATTAGATCTGGAAGGAACTTGAAAAACCATTCCGTTCAAATGCTTCATTTTGTCGATGACAAAATGCAGTGAAGTGGTTTCCAACACTAAACACAGCTGTTTAGTGACAAACAACATAAGAGTCCCCCTTAGCTCATCAACTTAAAAAAAATTTATGTACAGTTAGATGGCTCAGCCATTAAAGGCGTGTAAAGACCCCCGGAGAGGACCCCCAACTCAAGTCCCGATCAGCACGCACCCAAGGAGACACAAGAGACTGACTTGATGCAAATAGCAAAAGGCAGTTTACTAATGAGGGCCCTCGGATTGAAACTCATCCCACGCAGGGAAGAGAATTTCGATCCAGACCCCCAAGAGCTCAGGGCTTTTATAGGGGACAGTGTAAGGGGGAAGGGGAAAGTGGGAAATTCTGGCGTGGTTACATATAATTGGATATTTCAAACATCAGCACTTTTCGTAAGCAATCATTTTGACAGGCTGGATGGCCCACTATTTTTGACCATGAAACCTCAGACCTTCTAGGATAAACGCCAGGTGGCCCATTACTCACTTGGGCATGTTTAGACTGGTCAAGATATATCTTTGGTTGTTTCTACATTTTTGGTCACCTTGTCCCTAGAGGGGCTTGATATTTTTATTATGGCTATTCTCAGCAAGCTCAGGAAGCCGTCCAGCGGTCCTTCCCAAGTTGTTTTTAATTTTTACTCTCACAGGCACTTGTCACCAAGTCTGGTGACCTGAGTTCAATCCCCAGGACCCACAAGGAAGATGGAGAGAACCGACACCCTCAAGTTGTCCTCTGACCTCCACATTCATGCTATGGCATATGTGTGTATGTACACACAAAAAGGTAATAACTTAAATTTAAAACAAAAATGTTTAACTGTTTCAGGTGACTCTCAGGTATCTTCCACCTGCCCTTTGTTTCCTCCAGGTCATGTTCTCAAGCTTAATGTGGTGATTTGAATATGCTTGGCCCAGAGAGTGGCACTATTAGGAGGTGTTGGCTTGTCGGAGTAGGTGTGGCCTCGTCTTCTGTCTGCCTTTGGATTAAGATGTAGAACTTTCAGCTCCAGCCCCAAGTCTGCCAGGACGCTGCCATGCTATCTCCATGATGATAACGGACTGAACCTCTGAACCTGTTAGCCAGCCCCAATTAAATGTTGTCCTTTTTAAGAGCTGCTTTGGTCATGGTGTCTGTTCGTAGCAATGGAAACACTAGCTAAGACAGTCTCCAAGCCCATGGCTATAGGGACACGCTCCCTCCAACAAGGCCACACCTACTCCAACAAGGCAGCATCTCCTAACAGTGCCACTAGACCAAGCATACTCAATTACTACTTTCTTCTCCTCTCTTCGTAGCCCTCATCTTCCTATTCTTCTACCGTGAAACGTTTGATTAATAATTTTGAGTGTTTATGGAGTCTTACTTCAATGAAGCAACAATAGACTACAAATTGTGAAATAAAATTGGGTCTATCAGGGAGTGGCCTGGAGAGATGACTCAGCAGATAAAAGTTCTACCTCCTCTTGCTGAGGCCCCAGATTCAATTCCTTGGACCCAAGTCCAACAGCCAACAAATGCCTGAAACTCTCACTTCTGGCCCCCACTAGCAACTGAACGTACAGAAAGCTGGCATATTTCCATACACCCAAATAAAATAAATAAGACTTTTTAAATTAAGTCAATTGCAGAGGATAATTTAAATCTAACTTGATAAGATATTTTTAGCTTGAATGTTTTCTCTCATGGGTTTTGGAATCTCTTAAAAAAAAATTGTCCCCAATTCTCTCTGTGTTGTACAATTTTAGATCCAAATCACTGTCCCTGGTAGGAAGCAGCTGGCTTAGTTCTGCTTGATTAGCCTCTCTGGTTTAAATTTCCTCTTTTATTAAAAAATGCCAGTAGTTTTCTCCTTCTTGACAAACTTCCTTTTAAGACTTGTAAACTTTTGGAAAGCCTAAATTACATCACTATTTTATCTCCAACAGCATTTCAGGCTTCCAGATCATGATTTCAGATTGCCCAAACTGGATGTCTTAGGAAGTTATTTCCAAATATTCATCTCTTAGGCCCATACCCTCAAACCCAGCATGAACACTTTTCATTCCTTCAATAAACTGAGAATAAAACAGAAGCCTGGTTAAAAAAAATCACTCCTTACCCTCAAAGATATTCCAGCATATTGAACA